CCTAGCCGGAACGAGAGCCGACTAATATATATATATATATATATGAATACTTTTCAACTTCATTTTGACGGCAAATACTGGGAGACCGTTGAGATTAATAGCGACAGAGAGCTAGTTGTCCGCGAAGCAATTTATGTAGTGCAAGACGACCATGCAAGCGTGTGCCTCGTTCAGATTTATGAGGACGACTTTCCGTTTATATCGGCACTTGAACTCCGGAGATTGTACTCACATATGTACAACCTTGTTACTCCTAATCAGGCTTTGTTTCTTAGGAGTAGGCTTGCTTGCGGCACATTTGAGAAACTAAGGTGTGAACACATGTACACTTCGTTTATTTCACTATTAGAATCACAGCTTAAACTTTTTTATTATAATATTTTTTTTTACATAAATTTACTTTTTAACTTACGTTCTCAATTCGAATGACCGAAACGTACGGGACCATAGTATGTCTCTAAATTAGAGTTAGGGTCAGAGCCAGCTAGGATCCAGGGGTTCCAAACCCAAAAAATGGACCCATTTTATATTTTCTAAAACTCGATTTTCTTAATTTTTATAATTTCAAAGAGCTCCTTGAATCCAAGTGGCTAGATTATATATATATATATATATATTTTAAAATTTATAATTTTCCACCTTAATTTTTTTTTATAATTTCAAAATTTGTGAACTTGTATTAAAATTTCATTCACACTCAGTTTTTAGTTTTTAGTATTTATTTCTTACTAGTTTAGTTTTAAATTTTAACTTAATTAGTCCCACTGAACAATTTTTCTAGCTTCGTCCTTGTTAAGAGTTAATAATTAATTTATTTGATCATGCAAGGAAACTGAGATCTGCCAAATCCAATCCTCTTTGTCGTCCTCTGAGTTATCAAGCTATACTAATTTTGTATTTTGGTTATACTTTTAATGAAATTTCGGGTATCCGAACGATGCTTTTGACAGAGAATGGGAGTCCGCGTTGTTTTCCCATACTATGCGGAGTAGGGAAGCAGAAGCACAAAATATTGATGTTAGTGGGGCAAATGATAAATCCTCCACAAGAGGCCATTCGGAATGCGTTAACAACAACGATTACACTCGATTTAGTTTGCTGATTCGAATTTTTAATTCGAGTTAAGATATGATTTTATATGATAGTTTTTTACTGTAATAAAAAAGTTAAATGTGACTGTTTCTGAAATTTTTTTACTGAAATAAAACTTAAATTTTAAACTCAAATCGGTAAAATGAACGGGATGTTTGCTGATTCGAATTTTTAATTCGAGTTAAGATATGATTTTATATGAGAGTTTTTTACTATAATAAAAAAGTTAAATGTGACTGTTTCTGAAATTTTTTTACTGAAATAAAACTCAAATTTTAAACTCAAATCGATAAAATGAACGGGTGCTTAACTCTTCCTAGGCATCGAATCAGCCCAGTGCTCTTTGAGAAAGCACCGGTTTATATCAACCTCTATTTCTCTGAAGTGAGTGAACTAGACACGACAGAAAGAAGATCGTTTCGGGTTTACATTGATGAATTACCTCATTCAGACCCCATTATACCTCCGTATGGAGGCGTGAAACAAGTAACAATTAAAAATATCGACATTTACGGAACGGATGAAACTGTTTTGAGGCCCACCTCTGATTCAACTCTGTCTCCTATCCTCAACGCCATTGAAGTTTATCAGGTCAAGGATCAGAAGGATGGTCCAGATCGAGATCAGATTTCTAATATCGGAACAAGACGTTCAGGTTTCTTTTTTCTTCTGTGGGCAATCTTGGGAGTTTGTCTTAACTTTGTTTCATGCGCTACATAAAACTCAGCTAATTAGAGTTGCACTTTTTTGTTGAGGGTGAGTTTTTGTGTGTGTATGTTCTTTTTTTTTTTTTTAAAGCAAAAATTAAGATATGGTTCCGATGCGTTCAGCTCTTTTATATGCGAAACGATTGCTTGTAAATTGTAACACAGACGGATATTAGTTGTACTTATTCCTCCCATGGAGTTTTAAATTTTAACTACACTATATAATACATACCACCTTTTACCTTTGTAAATTGACCTTTTCCATTTGTGGGTACCATTTTTAATGAAGAGTAAAAACGGTGATGATTTCAAGGAACACAAAACGACGACGTCAGATTAAAGATGACTAAACAAAAGAACACGTTGGAACATAAGTAAAACGAGAAATTGACGGCACAAGAATGAATGAACAGACAAGACTAGAAAGTTTAGATTAAATGAATGTAACTATTTTTCATGTCCAAACGTCTGTTAAATATGGGAAACGTGATCATTTGTATCCTTTGAGTGCTGAGTTGAGAATTAATGAGAATCAAATAGCTTTGAGCTTTTCTTTCAATTGTTAGTGTTAGGATTGTTAGTTGGCAAATTTGTTAGTAAAAGGTTGCAAATTTAAAAAACAGAATCAGTAAGATTGTAGATTGCTATGGAGACTCTATTTTTGGTTACTTATACCGAATTTAGGATGATGATTTAGAATGATTTTCTCAATAAAAGGAACTCAATTTATGGAGCTGATTTAGTTGATTTTTGGTGGCTAATTGATGCGGTGTGTATGGAAAGAATCTGTGGAGGAAAGGTTGTCTTGTTTAAGGTATTTTTGGGGGAGAAATGGATGTAGTTGACATTTAATCATTATTACCATTAAGAGCTTTGTATTATAAAGGTGATGAGGTGGTAGAAATGGAAAGTAGAGTACTCTTGCTATATATTCATATTACGTGAAGGGGTGCCTTGGAAGAGAAAAAATGAGCTTTTGTGTTTTATAGTTTTAAAAAGTAATTAAAGGCCATATTTTGGGGCATGAGTTTTAAAGATATATTTTAGAAAAAGTCTGTGAGAGTGAGTTTTGAGTGTGAAAATATTCTGCAGAAAGAGCTGCCTTGATGTTCTTGGAGTGAAAAATAGAAAAAGTAGTTCTTCAGGAGGATGACGTATTGCTTTCGGGAGAAAGTTTTCAAAGATGAGTAGTGCTCGCTAGACAATGCCACTAAGATGATACTCCACAACGGCGACAACATCAAGTAGGAAGTTCTTGAGTGTGTAAGACCGGTTTGGTGTTTTGTAATCTTTTAATCTTAGTGGATTGTTTACTGTCTGGTCATGACCCTGTAGATATAGGTGTGCGCACCGAACTGCGATACCATATCGTGTGTTTTCTATTTTCTACACTATTATTTTCTGCTTGGTTAATTTACGTTTCTGCATTGAAAAGATGCAATTAATCACTAGTGTTATAACACTCTTTGTAACACTTGTGTAAAAAACAAACCTTTCAGTTAGGTCCAATTAAGCAAAATATCTCGTTGTTTGCCGTTTGATCGTTTTTCAACCCCCGCCATTCTTCACTAATTGAGCATAAATACAAAATCGAAAGGTATAAATGTGACTCGGTCCAAAATATAAGGTATGGTCTTTGATAACCTCAAATAAAGGCATAACTGAGTTTAAAAAAAAAAAAAAAAAAAAAAAAACTAGTTTTTAGGTTCTTTTGGGTTCTCCTTATGATTTACAGAATCCTTCACTTAAAGATCTCCAGATCAGGTTAGCATTTGATCTTCGGCCATCTTTATGGAATACAAAGATTATTATTTCTGTTACATATTCAGTCATCATTAATATGCATTCGTATAAGCATGATAAAGGTCATGTTATTTCCTCGCATAAAGACTAGATGGCATTGTTCACATAGAGCTAGGTCTGATATTAATAGAGTTTTGAATAAAGAGCTGATCAAGGTCGTCGTTCAATATGGATTAGCAGGCGTATAAAAGCGCCATTTTGTGATTCGGAGGAATGTTTGACTTCCCCATTTCTTCTTATCAATATTTTTTTTTCAATTTTTTTTTTTTTTTTTTTTTTTTTTTTTTTTTTTGAGTGGGGGGCGCAAAGCTGTGTTATTGTTTATTATTGCGTCCTGATGTCTAACACCTAGCTATTTCTTTCTTTTTTCCTTTTTCTATTCTTTGAGCAAATGTCCATACTCATGTGAATAGCATTTGTCACATTGTTTGTGTGGCGTAATTCACAGATGAAACTCCAAAACCAAGGTCAAAAAAAGTAATAAATGTTTTTCCTGATTGTGAAAGGTAATTAATGAGCGAAAAAAAGAAAATGTTATAAGAGACGTGAAAATTAAAATGAAAACGTCAATTTCATTGCAGGTTCCAAAATTCCAACAAGGCAAAATAGAACCAAACCGGCGAACGACCGATTAATGTTCACTTACAATCCAGACAATGAGAGACTTAACACTAGAAAAAAGACCAAGACCAAAGAGAAATTAATATAATCATGATCACTAGCCTTGGAAACAACCTCAGACATAGTAGTAAAGACTTCCATGGCACAAAGAAGTGGCGGCAATGGTGAACCCTCAACAGCACTTATGGTCACATTGACCGTACCATTTGTAGTATTAACTGGATATATGGACACTACGGGAAAAATACCTTTATACGCGTCTGGGATTTCGGTTAGCACCTTCTCTTCGCCATCTATGTAGATGGAAACCGTCCTGCTGGTTATGTTAGGATAATAAACAAAGGACGCAAAGTAGAAGACGAAATAGGCGGCTTGAGATTTCTTCTCTTGAAATGTGACCGGTAAGAAAATAGACTCGGAGCTGTTGTATGCTTCAATGGCGTACCATAATACCGCAAAAGGAGGGTAATTTTCCGAATGGGTTGCCCAACCCGTGATTGTTACATCAAAACCAGGAGTTAGGCTGCGGTAGCTTGGGATTTCTTCCGGTTTCCATATTCGGTTGAACTCGTCAGCATCTATGGAGAGGCGTTCCCTATATTGGATTTCTCAGAATTAGAGCTGTTCATATTTTATCAAAATTTCATTGAATAGATAAGTTTTCTCGTGAACTTTTAGTTGTAGCTAATTACTCTTTGAATTTAATAAAATGTTGGAGGTTGCCCCAAAATTTACGAATGATAAGCTACTCCGGTTTTTGTTTGAAATTAAAGTCTCTTCCTTTAAACGATCTGGAATAAGGTCATGTATAAAAGTGTTTTCGTCTAAATTTTGACAGCCTGTTTTATGGCATTTTGTAACAAATTGTTAAATTTCAGGAAAAAAATGTAAAAAAAAACTAAAAGTTTAGTGGATAACTTGTCAATCGCGAAAAATTCAGGTAGCAAATGTGTGTTAAAAACCATGTATGTTCTGTTAATGCTTGAACATCCAGGACACTAGCAGTAACCTTTTTGAAAGCAAGTTAATTATTAAAAACTTGAAAATCGTCTAAACTAAGGACAGAATCAATAGGATTATCCACAGTTAGATAGTTATAATTACCTAAAAAACAGCTACCTATAGATAAGACTCCGAGTAAACAAACATGTTTTAGTAGTGCATGTACTTACGGAAAGGTTTCATTGGCGCCATAGTTGATCCTTTTTTCAAGGTACAGCGCCGTGTGGTTTTGCATCAACTTGTAGGTGTCTTTACCGTATAGTTGTTGGCTTTCAATTGTGGAAATGAAGGGAACATGGTCTTCATGAGTCCGAATCAAGCAAACATCGGTATTCCCGTCCCCCACGAAAAAAAATGAATTCATGGTAAACCGGTTCGTCACCTAGAGAAGTTGTGACCGTGACACTCAACTTGCGATCGACCTCAAGAACGAACGTTGGGGGCTTCAGGAGGTTGTCATGGTTGCCATAGTAAAAACCCGCCCGGAGAATGTATTTGGCTTGCGGTTCGAATGGTAGGTTGTAGCAATTCTTGTCTCCTATCGGGAAACTCCGCAGCGTTTTCATTGGATAGAAACTGGCGTTTGTGAAGACCAGGAACTCGTTGTTTCCAGTTTTGGTGTATTCATCATCAGTTTCCCATCGCAGGTATGTGGTATTATCTTCGGATTGTGTTGTTGCCCCACAGTCGATGTTTAGAGTATTTTTAGCTAAAACAACAACATAAACAAGAATGAAATATCGTTAGCCTAAAAGAAAAAAAAAAAAAAAAAAGAAGAAGAATGAAATATTTAATGCTACGTATCACGCAATTGTATCAATATATTTCGAAATACAATAATATTGCAATGAAATAACTGCATCCAATAAACCGCATATATGAAGTAATAAACTGAATCAAGTTATGTGGTTTACAATTTTACATCTCTTGCTCTTTTTTTCTTTTTTTTTTGGAAGTCAAAACTGAAGAGTGAAGACTTACTATAGGCGTAGGCCTGGAAACTAGGCAGTGCTACAAACACCAAAACCATAACATTAATGCTCCAGATTTCCATATTCTAATTGGAGAATGAGATATCTCTCTATCTAATTAGGATCTCACAACTTAGATGAATGAATTAGATTTTGTTATATATATATATATATAATTAATACTCATATAAACTCTTTTTTTGTTTTTTTTGTTTTTTTTTGTTTATCCTTGTATACTTGTCTGTTGGAATTGGTAGGCAGCCATTTCAAAGATTCTCAGAAGTATTGTAAGTGCTCGTCATAACATATTTCTTGCTGATATTTCAATATTATTATCGATTATATTGATATTTTGTCTTTTTTTCAGCTCTTTGTAATAGAATACCAATTAATACAAGATGAATTTTTATTGACGAAGAGATCAATGTATGCCCTATCATTTTAGTACTTATAAAATTAATATTGTTCTTGTCGTCATTTTGATAGATATGTCAATTTGAGTTTGAAACCTTCTTTTCCGTTTGGATTTATCATCCCCTTCCCCATTTCAATCTCTTTCTCCTCTCCTTGCCGGCATCTCTATCTCTTTCTCAGTTCAAGGTCATCCACTTGTCGAGTAGATCTTTTATTTGCATATAACGAAATTGTTTTAATTTACAACTAACAGACAGTAATAGCCAATAACTTTATAGAATTATTACTTAAAGACAACGATTAATTTTATTATTGTTCTTATATGCTGTAGTAAAAATTATAAACTACAAAGATCATTTTCTCAAGAAAACAAAAAAACAAACAAGTTAATGATCTGAAAAGTCACTGTATTATCATGCATTAGTCGGATATAAGAAATCTGAAAAGTTAATTTTTTTCTTTGCTAATAATAGTGAGATTTTATATAGTATCTACTGATAATTCAGTAAAATTTGATTAATTACTAAAATGAAAATGAGAACTTAATTAAAAATAAATTTGTGTTCCCTAAAAAAACTAATAAGATTTTGATTGGTTACTTTTAGTCCCACTATTAGCAAAAAACAAACGAAAGAAAAGAAGGATGACTGAACTAATTCATATGAATTATTTTTATAATTTACTTAATTAAACCTTTGCAATTACAAAATATTTCTTAAAGAGTTTGATGGAGGGAGGCCCAAAATGAGACTTTTCTGATGAATTTAAGAATGCAGGTGGTACATTGAAAGGTAGAGGAGTAAGACTCCATATCCGCTTACTAATTCACTGCCTTCCTGCTTCCAGAAGACCCCTTCTTCCTCTTACTAAGCTTTTTTTTAATTATTTTTTAATTATTTATTTTTTATTGTAATAAATTCATTAGGAAGTATAAATATGTGATGGGTGTTTCTATTCACACAAGTGCTGGAACTTCGGGCCGCTGGCCTGTTCGAAACTTGAAAATTTTTGGGCTCAGCAGGTAGATACCTATTACCGCCCGTCCACCTAAATATCCTGGGCTCGGGCTCAGGCAACCCGAGAAAAAAGCATTCCCTGCAGCTCGCCGCCAGTGGGGGCCGTGACCGCCGGCCACCGTTTTTTTTTTTTGAATTTTTCACCATAACCCGAAGCCCGAATACCCAAAAAAACGGCTAGTTTTTAAATTTTATGCCCGACCTGACCTGAACCCAATCCAAATAAATTTTTGACCGTTAGCCCGATTTTTACCCGAACTTTTGAATGTAACGGCTATATTTGCCCGACCCGACCCACCGCCCATTTTGCCCGACTCCAACGGCTCTATTTTTTACCATTGTCCGAACCCGACCCAACTCGCCCGAAATATTGTTACCGTTGGAGCCAAATTTTTTTTTTTCAAGCCAAAAAATTCTCTATAAATACCCCCCTCCCCCAACCATTTTCCTCACCCAAAAACTCTCATCATCTCTTAATTTCTCTCAATCTATCTCAAATCTCACTTAATCTCTCTCAAATCTCTCTTAATTTCGCTCAAATCTCTCTCGATTTCTCTCAAAGCGCTCTTGATATCTCTTATTTTTCATAATAGATTCTTCCGGTTATGGTGGTGATATTCCCATTGATGCCCAATTCAACATTGAAGAAGGGCAATTTCCTACTAATGTTTTTCAAACGCAGGAATCGCAAACACCAGAAAGAACTGCTGAGGAAACTGCAAATGCGAGCCGTGGTGGACGTACTAGAGGTCGTGGACCTCGTGGTCATAATGGTGGTGGGCATGGAGGAGAGGCAAGCAGAAGTGCTAGTGCAAGTGTTGCAAGTTCCAAGAAGAAATGCAAGTGCACCTTAACAGTTTGGGAGCACTTCAACGCATTCGAGGAGGTCGACAATGACGGTAACATTAAATACATAGCTCAATGCAAATATTGTAGTGATAAATTACAAGGTAACATTATTCACGGCACAACACACTTAAGAAGACACTTGGAAAAGTGTCTTCAAAAGCAAGGAGGCAGACCTGATCTCGGCCAAACACAATTATCATTTGACTGCAAAACCAGTAGTCTAAGTACTTGGAAATACGATCTGCAAGTCGATCGTATGGAAATGGCACGATTTGTAGCCACATTAGATCAGTCACTTAGTTTTACCGAACAAAGTAATTGATAGCGTTACATTAAAATTGTACATAATTCTAATGCACAATTTTTTTCAAGAACTACTCTTAGGAAAGACGCATTAAAATTATATAAACAAGAAAGGGAAGCATTAATCAACCTTTTACACTCTACTAATGGTCACGTTGCGTTAACGACAGATATTTAGTTCGACGTTACCAACAAAGATTATTTAGCTGTAACCGGACATTATTTTAAAGGTTTTGATATAGATAAGAGAATATTAGATTTGAAATGTGTTCTAGGATCACATACCGCCGATTTAATATATAATATAATTTTATCTGTCATTGATGAATATAGTTTAAGGGATAGAGTAATGGCTATAACATTAGATAATGCTACTGCAAATACTAAATCAATATAACTTTTTGAAAATGATTTAAGTTTATTCGGTAATAATGATATATTTCACCAACGTTGTGCATGCCATGTAATTAATTTAATAGTAAAATCCGGTTTAAAATCAATGTCAAGTCATATTAAAAGAATTAGAGATAACATTGCATGGATTCAAGATAGTAATCAAAGAATACAAGATTAGTTTAGGTTTGTACAAGCATGTAATCAAAATTCTAGAGCATTAGCCTTAGATATGCCCGTAAGATGGAACTCCACTTATATAATGCTTGAACAATGCATCCCCTATAAAGATGCTATAACAAACTATGTTAGTGCAAAATTAGGATAAGGATTTATAGACGAAACTGATTGGAAAATTGCCGAACTCTTGTATAACTTTTTAGGTAGATTTCACGAAGTTACTTTAAAGCTTAGTGGAACATATTACCCAACATCACCATTAGCGTTAGGAGAACTTTTAAGAATGACTATTTTATTTAGTGAATTTAGGACATACGAGGTTTTAGGTGTTCCTATCGCTTATATGGAAAGGAACTTTAAAAAATATTGGGCCAAATTACCAATGTTGTATGGTTTCAATGTTATTTTTGATCCTAGATTAAAATTAAAAGGTTTAAAAAGTGGATTAGAAAACTTATGTGACTTTTTAGATATCGATTGTTCTGACCAATTTCCTATTATAAAGAGAAAAATATTATCTCTCTATAGCTCTTATGAAAGTAGGTTTAGAAACCCACCTCGTGTAGAATGTAGTGACCAAGAAAATCCCAAAATTTAATTAATGCAATTCACGTATTTAAGTCAAGGATTTTTCATGGGAAAAAAATATATTATGTATATTTTGTGATTGAAGGATTTATGGAATTAACATCTGCATTCCTAAATTCTGTAATAGATTTCATATTAAGTTCACGTTTTTCTGATCAAGTAAATTCGATCGATAAATTCTCACCGTACTTTAAAACGGAAGAATTTCCAGTACAGATACAGTTTGAGAATCTTAATTTCAAGAATCTCCAAGCATAGTACGAACTAGCATCCGGTACACATATACAGAAGAAAATAACTGTCAGTAGAATTTTTAACAGTTTCAAAGAGAAAATTTAGAAAGTGGACAAAAATACAAGGGTTAGGTTTCATTTTTCTCTCTCCTTCCCTCACTTGGCCGGCCAAACTTAAGGGATTATAGCCAAAATTTGGCTAGTGAAGTGTGCTAGATGGATTTCATGATGGGATTGAGTCAAATCAACTATTGGACATGAATGCTTACTACATTTCCTCTTGAAGCACTCCACCGGCCAGCCATAATAAGGGGGGGATTAATCCAAAAATCTAGCTAATTAAGCTAGCTTGATAGGCTTAAATGAGAACTAAGTTTAGATCAAGCAATGTCTATAAAGGCGAGATCAGTAGTGCAA